GTACAGGGGTTTCTACCGATCATTTGTCGGTACGGGCCGGAACAGCTTTCGAAGTGCTTGACTTGAAGAAGACACTTTACAGCTTTTTGAGGGCTAGACTTTCTTAGGAGGAGCTGATTTGGGGTATTCTGTGGATATGGGTTACCCAACATTCTTTTCCTGTCGTTGTTTGAACGCCTTTGGGTTACAGATTAGCCTGGGTAGGTATCACCACCAAACTAACCTGAGTCGCCGCCGCGGAATTGGGTCTCCGTAGATTTTAAGGACTCCGACCTTTTACTTGGGCACAATTTCTTTTCAGACATTTTTGGATATACATTACATTTATATTTGCTGTGGGTAGCCCTATATAATTATTATATACTGATAGCAGATGTAGCATTTAATTTATTTGCGTTATTTGACTCAACCCTTTGCACGTGTGATAGATTTTCTCAATACTACTAAAACTGTCATTTATTAATTACTAAAATACATTTAAATTAGGTTTCTTTTTAAAATTTCCAAATATTTTAATCATTTATAATTTGTTTAGCACCCAAAAAGGTGCATACATCCATAAATAACTATAAAGGAAATATTCAAACGGACCACAATTCCTCTAAACTCAATAGAAACCACCAAACCACAATTTTTGTTTCAAAAATGTTCCACTACTCCCAAAACTAATTTAATATTCTTATTTTGTAACAAATCTTCCACTTTTACTCTTAAAAAATATAGTAAAGTATAATTAAACAACTTTATGTTAGTTTGATAATATTTCTTTTACACTCAATTTTAATATTAATTAAACCTTTTAATTTAATATTAAAAATTTCAATTTATAACTTTTTTTCTCTGTTTTTTCATACCAATAAATTCTTAAGTGTTTCTTTCATCTTCGTCAGGTGCAGTGTAAACTAATTGAAATTGTTAAATAAAATCCAAAGGAATAGAGTAATAATAAAAACAATTAAAATTGTAGAGAAATATAGAAACAACAAAAACACCATTATAATATTTAATAACATTTTTGCAACTTTGTTCTCCGGAATGACCCCATGGGCCATGAGTAAAAAGGATATGAATACAAGTATGAAGAAAACTTTTTTTAAATCAAAGTTTCATTGTGCTAGAAAATGAAATTTAAACAAAAACTAGTAAGAAAGTATAGTCGGACATGATCGACCCTATAACAGCTACAAAGATTTTGTATTTAGTTTTTGGAAGGAATAGGGATATGGGTTTAATTTACTCACGAAATTTAGTGCAATGACTTACATACAGACACTCAGTTTAGAATCGAACTATAACTGAACTAAAACTGAACTAGAACTGAACTAGAACTGAACTAGAACTGAACTAGAACTGAACTAGAACTGAACTAGAACTGAACTATAACAGAACTAAACTAGAACTGAACTAAACTAGAACAAGAACTGAACTAGAACTGAACTAGAACTGAACTAGAACTGAACTAGAACTGAACTAGAACTGAACTAGAACTGAACTAGAACTGAACTAGAACTGAACTAGAACTGAACTAGAACTGAACTAGAACTGAACTAGAACTGAACTAGAACTGAACTAGAACTGAACTAGAACTGAACTAGAACTGAACTAGAACTGAACTAGAACTGAACTAGAACTGAACTAGAACTGAACTAGAACTGAACTAGAACTGAACTAGAACTGAACTAGAACTGAACTAGAACTGAACTAGAACTGAACTAGAACTGAACTAGAACTGAACTAGAACTGAACTAGAACTGAACTAGAACTGAACTAGAACTGAACTAGAACTGAACTAGAACTGAACTAGAACTGAACTAGAACTGAACTAGAACTGAACTAGAACTGACTAGAACTGAACTAGAACTGAACTAGAACTGAACTAGAACTGAACTAGAACTGAACTAGAACTGAACTAGAACTGAACTAGAACTGAACTAGAACTGAACTAGAACTGAACTAGAACTGAACTAGAACTGAACTAAACTGAACTAGAACTGAACTAGAACTGAACTAGAACTGAACTAGAACGAACTAGAACTGACTAGAACTGAACTAGAACTGAAACTAGGAACGACTAGAACTGAACTAGAACTGAACTAGAACTGAACTAGAACTGAACTAGAACTGAACTAGAAACTGAACTAGAACTGAACTAGAAACTGAACTAGAACTGAACTAGAACTGAACTAGAACGACTAGAACTGAACTAGAACTGAACTAGAACTGAACTAGAACTGAACTAGAACTGAACTAGAACTGAACTAGAACTGAACTAGAACTGAACTAGAACTGAACTAGAAATGAACTAGAACTGAATTCTAGAACTGAACTAGAACTGAACTAGAACTGAACTAGAACTGAACTAGAACTGAACTAGAACTGAACTAGAACTGAACTAGAACTGAAAACTAGAACTTGAACTAGAACTGACTAGAACTGAACTAGAACTGAACTAGAACTGAACTAGAACTGAACTGAGAACTGAACTAGAACTGAACTAGAACTGAACTAGAACTGAACTAGAAACTGAACTAGAACTGAACTAGAACTGAACTAGAACTGAATAGAACTGAACTAGAACTGAACTAGAACTGAACTAGAACTGACTAGAACTGAACTAGAACTGAACTAGAACTGAACTAGAACTGAACTAGAACTGAACTAGAACTGAACTAGAACTGAACTAGAACAGAACTAGAACTGAACTAGAACTGAACTAGAACTGAACTAGAACTGAACTAGAACTGAACTAGAACTGAACTAGAACTGAACTAGAACTAAACTAGAACTAAACTAGAACTGAACTAGAACTGAACTAGAACTGAACTAGAACTGAACTAGAACTGAACTAGAACTGAACTAGAACTGAACTAGAACTGAACTAGAACTGAACTAGAACTGAACTAGAACAGAACTAGAACTGAACTAGAACTGAACTAGAACTAAACTAGAACTGAACTAGAACTGAACTAGAATTGTACTAGAACTGAATTAGAACTGAACTAGAACTGAACTAGAACTGAACTAGAACTGAACTAGAACTGAACTAGAACTGAACTAGAACTGAACTAGAACTGAACTAGAACTGAACTAGAACTGAACTAGAACTGAACTAGAACTGAACTAGAAGTGAACTAGAACTGAACAAGAACTAAACTAGAACTGAACTAGAACTAGAACTGAACTCGAGCTGAACTAGAACTGAAGTGAACTAGAACTGGAGTAGAACTGAACTAGAACTAAACTAGATCTGAACTAGAACTGAAATTTCGAAAACCTGTAATTATTGAGAAATTTTGAGGGAAGATTCGAATTCAGAGTAGTACTGAGTCTGCTATATTTAAAAAACTCAAACCTATTTACACTCTTGTTAGATTTCCATGAATGAAATTTAAAACGTTATTTGAATACTCAGCGACCGTACAGTGAAGAAGAAGCAAAATAAATGTTGTTCACCAGAAGAATCATTACAAAAAAACACTAGTTGAAAACTTTTGCCATTATTCAAAATAAAAAAATATGTTTTATTTTATAACTTGCACTCTTTACCTTTTACGAAGAAAGGTAGTTTTAAATTGTTGTACAAATGAGGTGCAGACTTGTGGGTAACTTTCGGAAATAGTGACGTTCGCAAAAGTTTGTTAGGAATATTTTTGTTGATAGAAAAAAATACCTTTATAAAGTTTTTTACTAATAGTTGAAAATTGTATTTATTTATAAGTACTCTATAAGTTAAATGCTTGTTAGTAAAAGTTATTCAAAACTAATAAAATGTTACAAGAAAGTACTTAGTTTAAATGCTTTTTTTTAGGTGCAATTCATGGTGCACTTTAAAGGTAACTTAAGTACGGTATATTTAAGTTCTGTTTCTTCTTTCAACCAATCGTCATTCTTGTTTGATATCGCGTCCAGGGATATATACATACATACAGTTTGATCCCTTAATTACGCATTTTCCAGAAAACCTTCATATCTTGAAGACTAATTTTTCGACCTTATTTCATTAGACTAGGGAGCACTGATAGTTGTAAGACTGCAGCCTCAAAATCGGCTGTCATATATTTTGAGGATCAGTGTATAAATGCACTTGACGAATAAGCGGCAAGAGGTGGTGTATCTAGCTCTGGGGGGTTTTAAGCTTATTGAGACAGTTATAGCCAGACAAACCATTATTTATACTTCTGTACAAAATGGACAAGTGTGTTATGGTTTTTAGCGTTTTCCATCTGACAAGGTCATGGATCTGAATAGGTCTTATGACTGAATAGAAGTCAGAGAGATTCTTACTAATTTGACTTTCAGTAATACGTTTTAACGAAAGCTGACTACGAGCTGTTATAACGTCTCCAACTTTCGGCTAAGATATCTGGAAAACCTGATGTGTGTTAGAAATCAGATCTTAATAAAGTCATATAAACTTTGATACAACCATTATTGAACCGCCTAGCAACAAGCGTATAATCGTATTAAAGCCAAATTAAAATGTTTAAGAAAAAAACTAAACATCCCCATAAGTATTAAACAAGTTGTACTTTTAAATTTCATTAATTTTCTTAAACAATGTCAACAAGTAGCGTGCAAGTAATTGAATATTGTAATGTTACAAAACAACTAATGTGAGTTTGCGGGTATTACAAAGAGACAGACAGCTCGTGTTTGACTTTTAACCAAGTTAACGACATTTAACTTTATCTCCCATTTCATGCTCTTCTATAATATTCTTTTCACAATATTACTTGTACTTTTTTGTTTAGTACTTATATTGTTTTTTAAATTCTTCCTACATTTCTTTACCCTCATTGTGTTAAACTTTTTTAATAAATACAAAATATTTGCCAGTAGTTTGCTGTTGTTATTATTGTTGTATGTATAATAAAGTTAGTTTAACAAGGGTAAATGTTTTCTTAACATTTATTTAATTTTCCTATACTATGCTCCTTCTATTTCTTCATTTATTTCTTTTCTATTGTAATAATTTGCAATTGTTGCTTTATTAATTTTAGCATGTTTATGAAATGAAAAAAAAAGACAACCTCATCATCAACATCATCATCATTCTCCAACTTCGCCTCCTCATTAGCAAACAACTGCAGCAAGTATTTTAGAATAAAAGTGGACTTGCAGCAATACCATGAATAGCAATAATTTACAACAATGGTGGGAGAATACATATCGTCATCATTTGACCAAACAACAGCAACAACAGGTCGTCAACTTTGATTCGGGTCTTACGGTACAGGAGACCAGCAATAGTAGAGAACTTTTAAATTTGGCTGCTCTGCAACAAAGTCTGGATGAGAGCAATATTTCCGAGGGTCTTAGTACGGGCACTGCTGAAGCCAGTGTTGGTGTTTTAGATTATGATCATTTTGGCAATTTAACTTATGTTAATCCCTATGATGGTGATCGTGATGAACATACAATACCCTCGCTTACCCTACTCTTTATGGCCATTTCCTATGGATTGGTGGTATTTGGTGGTGTTTTGGGAAATGCTACTCTCTTGCTAACACTATGCTCGGCTTCGTCGGTGAGATTACGAAATCCTTTGTTATTGGCTGTTTGTATTGCAGATCTGCTGGTTACGGGTATATCGGCACCGGTTACTCTTCTGAACTTAGCCATGAATCGAAAAACGAAAACTTTACCTCTGGAACTTTGTAAAGTGATTGATTTTATACAGGTAAGTGTCTTTCCTTTAATATTTAAAGAGTTTACGAGTGCTAGTGAAGAACACAAAATTTATATCCATCTGGCTCCATTATGATCCGCAGAAAAGGTACTTTAAATAAGACAATTTTTGCTTCCTACGTCATCAGATTGATTTGAAATTATGGAAAATTCATGCGGATATGTGTAATTCAATATGAATCGACCGAGACTCAAACTACCATATGAAATTATCCGAACTTAGTTAGGTAGTTAATTAGTTAGTTAGTTAGTTAGTTAGTTAGTTAGTTAGTTAGTATTAGTTAGTTAGTTAGTTAGTTCGTTAGTTAGTTAGTTAGTTAGTTAGTTCGGTTAGTTAGTAGTTCGTTAGTTAGTTAGTTAGTTAGTTAGTTAGTTAGTTAGTAGTTAGTTAGTTAGTTAGTAGTTAGTTAGTTAGTTAGTTAGTTAGTTAGTAGTTAGTTAGTAGTTAGTTAGTTAGTAGTTAGTTAGTTAGTTAGTTAGTTAGTTAGGTAGTTAGTTAGTTAGTTAGTTAGTTAGTTAGTTAGTAGTTAGTTAGTTAGTTAGTAGTTAGTTAGTTAGTTAGTAGTTAGTTAGTTAGTTAGTTAGTTAGTTAGTTAGTAGTTAGTTAGTTAGTTAGTAGTAGTTAGTTCGTTAGTTAGTTAGTTAGTTAGTTAGTTAGGTTAGTTAGTTAGTTAGTTAGTTAGTAGTAGTTAGTTAGTTAGTTAGTTAGTTAGTTAGTTAGTTAGTTAGTAGTAGTTAGTTAGTTAGTTAGTTAGTTAGTTAGTTAGTTAGTTAGTTAGTAGTAGTTAGGTTAGTTAGTAGTTTTTAGTTAGTTAGTTAGTTAGTTAGTGTTAGTTAGTTAGTTAGTTAGTTAGTTAGTTAGTAGTTAGTTAGTTAGTTAGTAGTTAGTAGTTAGTTAGTTAGTTAGTAGTTAGTTAGTTAGTTAGTTAGTTAGTTAGTAGTTGTTAGTTAGTTAGTAGTTAGTTAGTTAGTTAGTTAGTTAGTTAGTTAGTTAGTTAGTAGTAGTTAGTTAGTTAGTTAGTTAGTTAGTGTTAGTAGTTAGTTAGTTAGTTAGTTAGTAGTTAGTTAGTTAGGTTAGTTAGTTAGTTAGTTAGTAGTTAGTAGTTAGTAGTTTTAGTTAGTTAGTTAGTTAGTTAGTAGTAGTTAGTTAGTTATTACTTGGTAGTTGTAGTTAGTTAGTAGTTAGTTAGTTAGTTAGTTAGTTAGTTAGTTAGTGTTAGTTAGTTAGTTAGTTAGTTAGTTAGTTAGTTAGTTAGTTAGTAGTGTTAGTTATTTACTTTGTAGGTAGTTAGTAGTTAGTTAGTTAGTTAGTAGTAGTTAGTTAGTTAGTTAGTTAGTTAGTTAGTTAGTTAGTTAGTTAGTTAGTTAGTTAGTTTTAGTTAGTTAGTAGTTAGTTAGTTAGTTAGTTAGTATTTACTTTGTTAGTTAGTTAGTTAGTTAGTTAGTTAGTTAGTTAGTTAGTTAGTTAGTTAGTTAGTAGTTAGTTAGTTAGTAGTTAGTTAGTTAGTTAGTTAGTTAGTTAGTTAGTTAGTTATTTACTTGTTAGTTAGTTAGTTAGTTAGTTAGTTAGTTAGTTAGTTAGTTAGTTAGTTAGTTAGTTAGTTAGTTAGTTAGTTAGTTAGTTAGTTAGTTAGTTAGTTAGTTAGTTAGTAGTTAGTTAGTTAGTTAGTTAGTAGTTAGTTAGTTAGTTAGTTAGTTAGTTAGTTAGTTAGTTAGTTAGTTAGTTAGTTATTTACTTTGTTAGTAGTTAGTTAGTTAGTTAGTTAGTTAGTTAGTTAGTAGTAGTTAGTAGTAGTAGTTAGTTAGTAGTTAGTTAGTTATTACTTTGTTAGTTAGTTAGTTAGTAGTTAGTTAGTTAGTTAGTTAGTTAGTTAGTTAGTTAGTTAGTTAGTTAGTTAGTTAGTTAGTTAGTTAGTTAGTTAGTTATATTTGTTAGTAGTTAGTTAGTTAGTTAGTTAGTTATTACTTGTTAGTTAGTTAGTTAGTTAGTTAGTTAGTTAGTTAGTTAGTAGTTAGTTAGTAGTAGTTAGTTAGTTAGTTAGTAGTTAGTAGTTAGTAGTTAGTTAGTTAGTTAGTTAGTTAGTGTATTACTTTGTAGTTAGTTGTTAGTTAGTTAGTTAGTTAGTAGTAGTTAGTTAGTAGTTAGTTAGTTAGTTAGTTAGTTAGTTAGTAGTTAGTTAGTTAGTTAGTTAGTTAGTTAGTTAGTTAGTAGTTAGTTAGTTAGTTAGTTAGTAGTTAGTTAGTTAGTTAGTTAGTTAGTAGTTAGTTAGTTAGTTAGTTAGTTAGTAGTAGTTAGTTAGTTAGTTAGTTAGTTAGTTAGTTAGTTAGTCGTTAGTTAGTTAGTTAGTTAGTTAGTTAGTTAGTTAGTTAGTTAGTAGTTAGTTAGTTAGTTAGTTAGTTAGTTAGTTAGTTAGTTAGTTAGTTAGTTAGTTAGTAGTTAGTTAGTTAGTTAGTTAGTTAGTTAGTTAGTTAGTTAGTAGTTAGTTAGTTAGTTAGTTAGTAGGTAGTTAGTTAGTTAGTTAGTTAGTTAGTTAGTTAGTTAGTAGTTAGTTAGTTAGTTAGTTAGTTAGTTAGTTAGTTAGTTAGTTAGTTAGTTATTTAGTTAGTTAGTTAGTAGTTAGTTAGTAGTTAGTTAGTAGTAGTTAGTTAGTTATTTACTTTGTTAGTTAGTTAGTTAGTAGTTAGTTAGTTAGTTAGTTAGTTAGTTGTTAGTTAGTTAGTTAGTTAGTTAGTTAGTTAGTTAGTTAGTTAGTTAGTTAGTTAGTTATTTAGTTAGTTAGTTAGTTAGTTAGTTAGTTAGTTAGTTAGTTAGTAGTTAGTTAGTTAGTTAGTTAGTTAGTTAGTTAGTTAGTTAGTTAGTAGTTAGTTAGTTAGTTAGTTAGTTAGTTAGTTAGTTAGTTAGTTAGTAGTTAGTTAGTTAGTTAGTTAGTTAGTTAGTTAGTTAGTAGTTAGTTAGTTAGTTAGTAGTAGTTAGTTAGTTAGTAGTAGTTAGTTAGTTAGTTAGTTAGTTAGTTAGTTAGTTAGTTAGTTAGTTAGTTAGTTAGTTAGTTAGTTAGTTAGTTAGTTAGTTAGTTAGTTAGTTAGTTAGTTAGTTAGTTAGTTAGTTAGTTAGTTAGTTAGTTAGTTAGTTAGTTAGTTAGTTAGTTAGTTCGTTAGTAGTAGTTAGTTAGTTAGTTAGTTAGTAGTTAGTTCGTTAGTAGTTAGTTAGTTAGTTAGTTAGTTAGTTAGTTAGTAGTTAGTTAGTTAGTTAGTTAGTTAGTTAGTTAGTAGTTAGTTAGTTAGTTAGTTAGTTAGTTAGTTAGTTAGTAGTTAGTAGTAGTAGTTAGTAGTTAGTTAGTTAGTTAGTTAGTTAGTTAGTTAGTTAGTTAGTAGTTAGTTAGTTAGTTAGTTAGTAGTAGTAGTTAGTTAGTTAGTTAGTTAGTTTAGTTAGGTAGTAGTTAGTTAGTTAGTTAGTTAGTAGTTAGTTAGTTAGTTAGTTAGTTAGTTAGTTAGTTAGTTCGTGTAGTTAGTTAGTTAGTTAGTTAGTTAGTTAGTTAGTTAGTTTAGTTAGTTAGTTAGTTAGTTAGTTAGTTAGTTAGTAGTTAGTAGTTAGTTAGTTAGTTCGTTAGGTTAGTTAGTTAGTAGTTAGTTAGTTATTTTTTATTTTAGTTAGTTAGTTAGTTTAGTTAGTTAGTTAGTTAGTTAGTTAGTTAGTTAGTTAGATTAGTTAGTTTAGTAGTTAGTTAGTTAGTTAGTTAGTTAGTTATTAGTTAGTAGTTAGTTAGTTAGTGTTAGTTAGTGTTAGTTAGTAGTTAGTTAGTAGTTAGGTTAAGTTAGTTACGTTAGTTTAGTTAGTTATTTAGTTCGTTAGTTAGTTAGTTAGTTGTTGTTAGCTTAGGTAGTAGTTAGTAGTTAGTAGTAGTAGTTAGTTAGTTAGTTAGTTAGTTAGTTAGTTAGTTAGTTAGTTAGTTAGTTAGTTAGTTAGTTAGTTAGTTAGTTAGTTCGTAGTTAGTTAGTTAGTTAGTTAGTTAGTTAGTTAGTTAGTTAGTTAGTTAGTTAGTTAGTCGTAGTTAGTTAGTTAGTTAGTTAGTAGTTAGTTAGTTAGTTAGTTAGTTAGTTAGTTAGTTAGTTAGTTAGTTAGTTAGTTAGTTAGTTAGTTAGTTAGTTAGTTAGTAGTTAGTTAGTTAGTTAGTTAGTATTAGTTAGTTAGTTAGTTAGTTAGTTAGTTAGTTAGTTAGTTAGTTAGTTAGTTAGTTAGTAGTTAGTTAGTTAGTTAGTTTAGTTAGTTAGTTAGTTAGTTAGTAGTTAGTTAGTTAGTTAGTTAGTTAGTTAGTAGTTAGTTAGTAGTTAGTTAGTTAGTTAGTTAGTAGTTAGTTAGTTAGTTAGTTAGTTAGTTAGTTAGTTGTTAGTTAGTTAGTTAGTTAGTTAGTTAGTTAGTTAGTTAGTTAGTAGTAGTTAGTTAGTAGTTAGTTAGTTAGTTAGTTAGTTAGTTAGTTAGTTAGTTAGTTAGTTAGTTATTAGTTAGTTAGTAGTTAGTAGTAGTTAGTTAGTTAGTTAGTAGTTAGTTAGTTAGTTAGTTAGTTAGTTAGTTAGTTAGTTAGTTAGTTAGTTAGTTAGTTAGTTAGTTAGTTAGTTAGTTAGTTAGTTAGTTAGTTAGTTAGTTAGTTAGTTAGTTAGTTAGTTAGTTAGTTAGTAGTTAGTTAGTTAGTTAGTTAGTTAGTTAGTTAGTTAGTTAGTTAGTTAGTTAGTTAGTTAGTTAGTTAGTTAGTTAGTTAGTTAGTTAGTTAGTTAGTTAGTTAGTTAGTTAGTTAGTTAGTTAGTTAGTTAGTTAGTTAGTTAGTTCGTTAGTAGTTAGTTAGTTAGTTAGTAGTTAGTTAGTTAGTTAGTTCGTTAGTTAGTTAGTTAGTTAGTTAGTTAGTTAGTTAGTTAGTTAGTTAGTAGTTAGTTAGTTAGTTAGTAGTTAGTTAGTGTTAGTTAGTTAGTTAGTTAGTTAGTTAGTTAGTAGTTAGTTAGTTAGTTAGTTAGTTAGTTAGTTAGTTAGTTTAGTTAGTAGTTAGTTAGTTAGTTAGTTAGTTAGTTAGTTATTAGTTAGTTAGTTAGTTAGTTGTTAGTTAGTTAGTTAGTAGTTAGTTAGTAGTTAGTTAGTAGTTAGTTAGGTAGGTAGTAGGTAGTTAGTTAGTTAGTATTTAGTTAGGTTAGTAGTTAGTTAGTTAGTTATTGTTAGTTAGTTAGGTTAGTTAGTTAGTAGTTAGTTAGTTAGTATTAGTTATAGTTAGTTAGTTATGTTAGTTAGGTAGTTAGTTAGTTAGTTAGTTAGTTAGTTAGTAGAGTTAGTCTAGTCTATATGCTAGTCCATGTCTAGTCATATGTCTAGTCCATAGTCTAGTCTATCAGTGCTAGTTCTATAGTCTAGTCTATAGTCTAGTCTACAGTCTAGGCTATAGTCTAGTCTCTAGTCTAGTCTATAGTCTAGATTACGTCTAGTCTATGAGTCTAGGCTATAGTCTAGTCTATGAATCTAGTCTGTAGTCTAGGTCTATCGTTCTAGTCTATCGTCTAGTTCTGTAGGCCTAGTCTATAGTCTTAGGTCTATAGTCTAGTCTATAGTCTAGCCTATAGACTAGACTAATAGACTAACTATAGACTAGACTATAGACTAGACTATAGACTACACTATAGACTAGACTATTGACTAGACTATAGACTATAACTAACTAACTAACTAACTAACTAACTAACTAACTAACTAACTAACTAACTAACTAACTAACTAACTAACTAACTAACTAACTAACTAACTAACTAACTAACTAACTAACTAACTAACTAACTAACTAACTAACTAACTAACTAACTAACTAACTAACTAACTAACTAACTAACTAACTAACTAACTAACTAACTAACTAACTAACTAACTAACTAACTAACTAACTAACTAACTAACTAACTAACTAACTAACTAACTAACTAACTAACTAACTAACTAACTAACTAACTAAAAAGGGATCTAGTCTATAGTCTAGTCTATAGTCTAGCCTATAGACTAGACTATAGACTAACTATAGACTAGACTATAGACTAGACTATAGACTACACTATAGACTAGACTATGGACTAGACTATAGACTATAACTAACTAACTAACTAACTAACTAACTAACTAACTAACTAACTAACTAACTAACTAACTAACTAACTAACTAACTAACTAACTAAAAAGGGATCTAGTCTATAGTCTAGTCTATAGTCTAGTCTATAGTCTAGTCTATCTAGTATAGTCTATAGTCTAGTCTATAGTCTAGTATAGTCTAGTCTATAGTCTAGTCTATAGTCTAGTCTATAGTCTAGTATATAGTAGTCTATAGTCTAGTCTATAGTCTAGTCTATAGTCTAGTCTATAGTCTAGTCTATAGTCTAGTCTATAGTCTAGTCTATAGTCTAGTCTATAGTCTAGTCTATAGCTAGTCTATAGTCTAGTCTATAGTCTAGCTATAGTCTAGTCTAGTCTAGTCTATAGTCTAGTCTATAGTCTAGTCTATAGTCTAGTCTATAGTCTAGTCTATAGTCTAGTATAGTCTAGTCTATAGTCTAGTTATAGTCTAGTCTCTAGTCTAGTCTATAGTCTAGTCTATAGTCTAGTCTATAGTCTAGTCTATAGTCTAGTCTATAGTCTAGTCTATAGTCAGTCTATAGTCTAGTCTATAGTCTAGTCTATAGTCTAGTCTATAGTCTAGTCTATAGTCTAGTCTATAGTCTAGTCTATAGTCTAGTCTATAGTCTAGTCTATAGTCTAGTAGTCTATAGTCTAGTTCTATAGTCTAGTCTATAGTCAGTCTATAGTCTAGTCTATGTAGTCTAGTTTATAGTCTAGTCTATAGTCTAGTCTATAGTCTAGTCTATAGTCTAGTCTATAGTCTAGTCTATAGTCTAGTCTATAGGTCTAGTCTATAGTCTAGTCTATAGTCTAGTCTATAGTCTAGTCTATAGTCTAATCTATAGTCTAGTCTATAGTCTAGTCTATAGTCTAGTCTATAGTCTAGGTCTATAGTCTAGTCTATAGTCTAGTCTATAGTCTAGTCTATAGTCTAGTCTATAGTCTAGTCAATAGTCTAGCTTATAGTCTCGAGATCACAATGCCGAAGAATCGCTGTAAAACCCCTTTTAGGGAGTGCAACAATCGATATTACTTAGGAAACAAGATATCACCTCTATAATGCTCGTTATAGGTCTTTGTTTCTCCTTAAATTTTTAACAACATTTAAACACCCACTGTATTGCAGGATATATTAAACTTGCACACAGTCGTAAATAACAGTTCTATTACTTATTTCATACTAAAATATAAAATCTCATTTAAAAAACTTAAACAATAAACTTATTTACGGTATTTCTAATACATACATATAAATATTTTTCCTTAAAAGGTCATTTCAATCTTAAAAACTTTTACTAACCTCAATAATAACGTCAGCGAGTGAAAAAAAAGAAAAACAAAAAACACTTAAAAATATGAACATTTTCACTTAATTCTTTTCCGTTTCCTGTTTTATGTATTTTATGTGCTATGTTTTTATTTTCAATTTTAATATTTATGTTCTATATTACTACTTTTTTTCTAGGCTACACCAGTTGCCGCCAGTACATTATCATTCTTTTTACTATCGCTGGATCGTTATGCCACCGTAAAACATCCGCGTTTAGCACAACTACGTCAACGCCGCTATTTACATGTTTCCTTGGCAGTATTCTCATGGTTGACATCAGCCATTGTCAGTGTTCCGTTTTTGTTTATCTATAAAATTGTGGCAAGAACAGTTGTTATGAAAAATGCCACCATTAAAACATCTCCACCGACATCTTCATCAACGACATCATTAATGGCAGCTACCACCACCGCCCTCACACCCTCCGCCGATTTTCCCAACGTTAGCATAAGTTGCCACTCGGATCCGGGTGCCAATCCTGTATTTGTTGTATTCATTTTAATACACACATTTATTGTTTTCATTTTACCTGGTTTGGGTGTTCTACTCAATCATTATGGGGTACGACGGAAATTGTGTGCTCTCTCGTTGACAGCACGTGCCGCTCATGGTGAACTACCACTTCCGATGCCCATTTTACGTCGTCAAACTCATATGGTGATTGTAACGGGTATTGCGAATGCCCATCAGGCAGGCTGTGGTGGTGCGACGGATGACACCTCCAATGGTGGCGATATACAAATGCAGAACTTAAATCCGAGAAGTGCTGCACAAAGTAATCGTAATGTTATTTTATCGAAAAATCCCATATCACCAAGGTGAGTAATAATTCTTGAGATTAAAACTAAAGAATAAGAATAAGATAAATAAGAATAAGAATAAGAATAAGAATAAGAATAAGAATAAGAATAAGAAGAATAAGAAAGAATAAGAATAAGAATAAGAATAAGAATAAGAATAAGAATAAGAATAAGAATAAGAATAAGAATAAGAATAAGAATAAGAATAAGAATAAGAATAAGAATAAGAATAAGAATAAGAATAAGAATAAGAATAAGAAATAAGAATAAGAATAAGAATAAGAATAAGAATAAGAATAAGAATAAGAATAAGAAAAGAATAAGAATAAGAATAAGAATAAGAATAAGAATAAGACTAAGAATAAGAATAAGAATAAGAATAAGAATAAGAATAAGAATAAGAATAAGAAGAAGAATAAGAATAAGAATAAGAATAAGAATAAGAATAAGAATAAGAAAAGAATAAGAATAAGAATAGAATAAGAATAAGAAAAGAATAAGAATAAGAATAAGAATAAGAATAAGAATAAGAATAAGAATAAGAATAAGAATAAGAATAAGAATAAGAATAAGAATAAGATAAGAATAAGAATAAGATAAGAATAAGAATAAGAATAAGAATAAGAAAATAATAAGAATAAGAATAATAATAAGAATAGAATAAGAATGAGAATAAGAATAAGAATAAGAATAAGAATAAGAATAAGAATAAGAATAAGAATAAGAATAATAAGCATAAGAATAAGAATAAGAATAAGAATAAGAATAGGAATAGGAATAAGAATAATAATAAGAATAAGAATAAGAATATCAATAAGAGTGACTTGCTTAGAAAGTAAGTAGGTTTTTTGAGGGCCGAGTTGGATGGGCCTATGTGATATAATGGGCAGATTTCAATATGGTGCAATAGATGATGTCTGCAAAATTGCGTCCGGAAGTTTCATCACAAGGACATAGTTTAATCGGAACCCTATACCTATGCATTACAAACATTAACACAAACCCATAATACCCTCCCAACTAGAACTCTATTAATTAACCGTTCGTTTTTACAATTTCAGAGCAATGCGTGAAATACGCGAACATTCCCAACGACAACGTATGGCACGCGCAGCACAGCGTGGCCGAAGAGTGGCCACACCTGGCATACCGCTACCACAAACCTCAACTTTACGATCACGTAGACATCTAGCTAATATGCTTATAGGTTCAGCTATAATATTCATAGCATGTTGGGCACCTCATGTATTCTGTGTGATTTATAAAATAATGGGTTACAAAGAATATTGCAAAAAGTCATCAAGATATTTTAATTTATTATTGGGTAAATACAATCTAAAATAATTTTTGAATCAAATAACTTTATTTTAACTCTTCCTTAACAGGTTACATGTATTCAGCTTTAAGTCCCATCATTTATTGGGCCCTCAATCATAATAGCCTGCGACAATCTCCCTGTGCTCCCATAATACGTTTACGTTCAATGCAAAAATTCTTACGTACACGTTTTCGTTCGAATCCCGTACCGCCAGCACCCTCATCAACAAATGAAGCCCAGCTGGGGGCTTTCAATCCGAAATTAATAAAATTAACACCAAAACAATATAGAGCTCAGGCTTCATCGCATTATTTGTATTGAAATGGTTTGACCATATACATATATTAACTTCTTAATGTCTTCGTAAAATAGACTATTTCCCATAATGTCTGTAAATCAAAAAAACATGTATTCCTATCTCTGAACCATAATTTCCCTGCTACTTATTAAGTAATTAATAAGTTACTTTTTCAATTATATAGTAGAACTCAAATAATCTTAATTTTCTTTTACTTTTACAAAATGGTTCAGTAAAAAGTGTCTTGAAAATTTTTGTATATAAATCTAGTTAAATCCTCTCTAGTCTGTATAAATACTATATATATACTTAACTATATATTAATGTAAAAATAATAAATATTTTCAAAATATCTGTAAAATCTAAGCTTTTTCTATAACTAAACAAAATCAAAAACTTAAATTATTTGTTAAACTTTCTACTTTTCTCTACAAAATGCTAATATTAGATTTAATACGGACCGACATTATATGAACTATTTATTAAAACTAATTATAGCCTATTTACATTAATTAAATATTCGAAATATATTTAAAATTAAGCTGAACAAATTATATTTAGAAAAGTTAACTTTTTATTGTGTATGTATGTAAAATATATAATCAAAATATATATAATAAAATACTATATATTATATATAATCATTTGTACATATATGTATACATAAACATTTACATAATCATACGAAATATTCGTTTAGAATTTATAGCGTGAATAATTTATTTGATGTTTCTTTTTTAAAAAAAATCGTTATTGTCGTTAAACTGACTCTTATAATTAATACTTGCCTATATACAATTCCCGATGTTAAACAACTTTCCTGAACATACTCTATGTATGTTTCAAAATAAATTATTTAAAATTAAATTTTAATTAAAAAGTACTCTCTCAGAAGATAAGAGAGTAGTTAAAAAATATATAGCAATAAATGTTAAAACTTTTAAATGTTTAGATGATACAGAAATATTATAATCAAAAGTACAGAGTTGTATTTGATAATTCTAAATTAGTCAAATTCTGTTAAATAAATTGACACAGAAAGATGCCGAGACCCTTAAATTTAAGGTCGTAGAATCTAGTTTTAATCAGGTTCAAATAAGGGGATATTATACGATCTCCACCTTACCCCCATGCTAGCGAACCCTCCAATTTTTTGGACAATACAAACTTCAAAATGCAATATCTTCTTATTTTAACCAGATCTTTCAGAATGTAGTACGCCAGTAGATTCTACGAGCTTAAAGTAAGTTTACCTATTTCAGCGCTTTTCATATCATTTCAAAAGTTATATTTATAAAAAGCTAAATACATAAACTCTAGAACTAGTTTTATAACTAATTAATACAAATTTTCCTAGAACTTTAAGTTCTACTTTTCTAAAAGCTCTCTGATATTTATGCTCATATATAATTTAGACAACCTACAAATATTTACACTATTGATAAACCTAACAAATTTAAAACTATTTTTATACTACTAATTACAACTATTGTAATTCTCTCTCTTCCTGTTTTAATTTCGTTTTTGAAATTCGATTCGATCACGAATGTGTTAATTCGTGTCCAGTCTTGAATTCCTATTAACTGTCAAACTCCCTACAAGAATATTTGTGGCTGAATTCGCTTTCGCTTATATGAGAAGACAAAATTATTCCTTCGTATTCCGAGCCCGAATTCAGAAAATGTATCTTTGTGATTCCTAAAACAAAACAACCTGTAGGATATTTTTGCGATGCAACACGAATGGGCAAATCAAAAAAACGGCACTCAAACCCAGAAAATACTGAACTACATATATATTTCCTAACAGCAAACTATTCCCGCTCACACGAAAGCACCATCATGGACGCCGCAGCATAACTATCTCGACAGTTTTCTCATTGTGAAGACCACTTCCTACACAATATTGTTGCAGCTTCAGATTCGAATGTTTCGCGATCTCCTCAAAGCATCAGTTTATATCATGGACGCACCAGCAAAACTATTTCGATTGCTATTTTACACTACACTATAAAAGTGGAACTCCATCTACCCAGTCAGTTTTCTTATTCTGAAGACTATTTCCTCCACAATATAGTTGAAAAGCTCCAAGTCTAGTTCAACTGTAATATTGTTGCAGTTTCAGATTGAAATGTTTCGTAATCTTGACAAAGGATGTTCTACATTTGCGCAGATTGAAGATTTTTAGATCAATAGACTAGACTACAGGCTAGACTATAGACTAGACTATAGACTTGACTATAGACTAGACTATAGACTAGACTATAGACTAGACTATTGACTAGACTATAGACTACACTATTGACTAGACTATAGACTAGACTACAGACTAGACTATAGACTAGACTATAGACTACACTATAGACTAGACTATAGACTAGACTATAGACTAGACTATAGACTAGACTATAGACTAGACTATAGACTAGACTATAGACTAGACTATAGACTAGACTATAGACTAGACTATTGACTAGGCTATTGACTAGACTATTGACTAGACTATAGACTAGACTATAGACTAGACTATAGACTAGACTAGACTATAGACTCGACTATAGACTAGACTATAGACTAGACTATAGACTAGACTAGACTATAGACTATAGACTATAGACTATAGACTATAGACTATAGACTATAGACTATAGACCTATAGACTATAGACTAGACTAGACTATAGACTAGACTAGACTATAGACTAGACTAGACTAGACTAGACTAGACTAGACTAGACTAGACTAGACTAGACTAGACTAGACTAGACTAGACTAGACTAAGACTAGACTAGACTAGACTAGACTGACTAGACTAGACTAGACTAGACTAGACTAGACTAGACTAGACTAGACTAGACTATAGACTATAGACTATAGACTATAGACTATAGACTATAGACTATAGACTATAGACTATAGACTATAGACTATAGACTATAGACTATAGACTATAGACTATAGACTATAGACTATAGACTATAGACTAATAGACTATAGACTATAGACTAGACTAGACTATAGACTAGACTAGACTAGACTATAGACTAGACTAGACTATAGACTATAGACTAGACTAGACTATAGACTAGACTAGACTATAGACTAGCTAGACTAGACTAGACTAGGACTAGACTATAGACTAGACTAGACTAGACTAGACTAGACTAGACTAGACTAGACTAGACTAGACTAGACTAGACTAGACTAGACTAGGACTAGACTAGACTAGACTAGACTAGACTAGACTAGACTATAGACTAGACTATAGACTAGACTATAGACTAGACTATAGACTAGACTATAGACTAGACTATAGACTAGACTATAGACTAGACTATAGACTAGACTATAGACTAGACTAGACTAGACTAGACTATAGACTAGACTATAGACTAGACTATAGACTAGACTATAAACTAGACTATAGACTAGACTATAGACTAGACTATAGACTAGACTATAGACTAGACTATAGACTAGACTATAGACTAGACTATAGACTAGACTATAGACTAGACTATAGACTAGACTATAGACTAGACTATAGACTAGACTATAGACTAGACTATAGACTAGACTATAGACTAGACTATAGACTAGACTATAGACTAGACTATAGACTAGACTATAGACTAGACTATAGACTAGACTATAGACTAGACTATAGACTAGACTATAGACTAGACTATAGACTAGACTATAGACTAGACTATAGACTAGACTATAGACTAGACTATAGACTAGACTATAGACTAGACTATAGACTAGACTATAGACTAGACTATAGACTAGACTATAGACTAGACTATAGACTAGACTATAGACTAGACTATAGACTAGACTATAGACTAGACTATAGACTAGACTATAGACTAGACTATAGACTAGACTATAGACTAGACTATAGACTAGACTATAGACTAGACTATAGACTAGACTATAGACTAGACTATAGACTAGACTATAGACTAGACTATAGACTAGACTATAGACTAGACTATAGACTAGACTATAGACTAGACTATAGACTAGACTATAGACTAGACTATAGACTAGACTATAGACTAGCTACTAGACTAGATTATAGATATAGACTATAGACTAGACTAATATAGACTAGACTATAGACTAGACTATAGACTAGACTATAGACTAGACTACTAGACTAGAGACTATAGACTAGACTAGGACTAGACTATAGACTAGACTATAGACTAGACTAGACTACTAGACTAGACTATAGACTAGACTATAGACTAGACTATAGACTAGACTATAGACTAGACTATAGACTAGACTATAGACTAGACTTACTATTCGATTCTAATCGATTCATGTTTTAAGGTTATGTAAAATTTTCTTCAGAAAAATCTTGCTCAAATTTTAGAATGAAATTTAAACTTTTCAATTAAAGTTTTTATCAAAACAAATGAATTTTTAAAATTCCTTGTAACAATTAATCAAAAAATCTTTACTATATAATAATTTCTTTCGTTAAATCAATCATCATTTTAAAAATGCAAATAACAAAAACACTCATATTTAACTTGAATAGCCTTATTCTATACATATATTAGCGAAAATATGAAATATTATTAACAAAAAAATGTTTATAAACTAATAAAATAATGATTTAATAAACGCCTTACATTAATACTCAATATGTTAAATTTTGTAAAGAATAAAAATGTTTATAACAAAAAAAACAAAATTTACTTAAAACAGGACTTGAAAAATAAATATTTTTTACTTTCAACTATAAAACTAATGCAATATATTAAAAACAAAGATCAAATAAACAAAATAAAACTAAACATCTTTTTTAAAAAATCAAAAATAAGAAAAAATATTTTAACAAAAAAATTTATATAAATCAGGTTCCTTATTTTCAAATGTAAAACAAGCAATAATTACGCTTTAACCATAAAAAAGTTATTAAAAAATACATATAACAATTTCATAAAAAAATATTATAAATTGTTATACTGAAAGAAACAAAAAACTAAACAATTTCTAATTATATAT